ATTTTTATTATAAAACGTTTTAAACATCACTTATACAGGCAAACAAAGACAAAAGGCAGGAAAAACTGAGGCAACCAATACTTTAGCAGAGGAGAGAAAACTAAAACCGCAAAGTCAGCCCTTACCTGAAAATCTTGTAGTTTGAGAACAGTTTTTCTCCCCCTTTCACAGCCTCTGCTCGATCCACACTGACACCTGCTGGAGTTACTGGTAACGTAACACGTGACCATAGGCACACGCAGTGTAAAAGGCACAACTCAGTTTTTATAGATTTATTAATAATTGGTTACGCATTTCCCATTTATGAAATGTCACATTTATACACCTGAAAAACCACCTGATTTTCGTTTAAAGTGTGTGATCATCTCATTCAACATACGTCGTTGATTAAAGTTGGTAACAGTAGCTACAACATGAAAAACATAAAAATGCTACCAACATAAATAAATGGATCTGTAGTATGTATTCATCAATACAAACCCCCCAAAACAAAACAAAACGATCCTTCAGTTCTGATGCACTCAGATTTCGTCCAGTACAAGTTGAGACACAAACGCAGTTTTCTGCAGATTAAAAAAGCATTTCATTGCTACTGGTATCTTTTGTATTGACCACTGTTGATGAAAACAGTGCTCACATTTTATGAGTACGAGCCTACAACAAAATCAACATAAATGATGGGAAAACACCACTAGAAGTTCAGTTGATATATCATTAGCTCATAATAAACTGTGATAAACTGACAGTTCATCTAAATCGTCAGCTAATGACACGACTGCATGTTCTGTAAGAGTTTGTACTTGAAAATATTATAATTAATGAACCTGAAAGGGGCTAAAAGACATTTGACTTCCCATGTCAACCTTTTCCACAGTATACAAATAAATAACTGATGATGAAGGTGACTCTGGGAACCTGAGGAAGAACCTGTGTGGAAATCTGCGTATGAAAACTGTCCATGCTGCGATGTGGACAAACAGAAAACTGTTTCTCCACACATCGTGCCAGCTGTTAGCTCAGGTGTGTAAATGCGCAGCAGCTCTTTCACCTTGAAACAGTATTATGGAGTCTTTCCAAAGTAATCTTTTAAAAAAAAAATTGATAAACTTAATAAACCACATATATTCCAGATATATAAAAATGTATTTAAATGTATTGTTGACATTTATATTAGATTTGAAACTTTAGTGTATGCACACTGTTAAATGTAGTGACAGATTGCTACTGTTAATCCACACAAGTCACAAGAATATTAATTCCTTCTAAATCTAAATGTCTGCC